TATATATATACTGTATATATATTAAATTATGTGCCTTAAATTCCACTGCAAAGAAAACACAATGTGAGAATCAAAGATTTGAAATTAAGGACTGCAGAGGATGAATGCTGCTGCCGGTGAATGCCTCTAGGAGACATCAAATGATAGATTGGAGACTTCAGGGCACTTGGGACCTTTTTCACATCATAGATCCAGTGTTGTGGCTTGTAGTTTTGTTCCATTAGCAAATGTGCTGTAAACGCTGAATGTTTGACTCTGGTCTGTGTGCATGCATGTGTCTAATGGCTAGAAGGCATATTGTGTAAGTGTGTGTGTGTGTGTCTGTGTGTGCACATGGTGACTGAAAAGGCATAAATGATGACAGCGAATGCATTGCAAATAATGTATGCAAATGTGTGTGTGTCTGCATGTGTGGGTGGAAATGTGCAGGCTTTTCTTTCTGCATACAGGATGATGGCATGAGGAGAGTCTGCCTGAATGAGCCAGCGTTTGAAAATGTTGATGTGCAAGCATGAACATGCACTTTCTTCATTGTTAGATCAGCACTGCTTTGTGTATGTATGGGGGCTCCATAAAGTCTGGCTGAGAGTAAGACCATTAAAAGGCAGCTCTCTGTCACTGCTCTTCCTCCCAAGCCTCCTTCACACATGCTGAGTCACTGAATAGATAATACAGCAGATGTCCCTGGAGCAAAGTTCACCCTGAATATCATTATTAGCCGCTTATGGAATAGAAAAGTATCTACATGCATGAGAAGTAGTAAAAGCATCCACGAGGCGCCAAATGCTGGTACAATAAATCAGAAAGGGTCACATGCCACACTGGTTGTTAACGTTTCGAGGTGATAACATTTGAATATTATGACTCTATGCAGTTTCTAGCCTTTGATTTGTTCTTGAACATTAAAACTATGCTTCAAATGCTTTCTGGTTATTTAAATTCTGCTGTAGTTCATGATAAATTGCAAGCTTGATCCATTGTTTAAGCGGGTGAGGGAGTTTTAAATTAACACACAATCCCCGATTCTGTGCACGAAGTGGCATGAGGAGCGGCTTGGGTAGTATTGTTCTTGTGTGGAATTAAAGTCCACTGAAAGAACAAAACATCAGGGGCACTTTATCTTTTCATGAAGTACACTGATGAATTGAATTGTGGTGAAAGCCATGATCCCTTATGAAAAAATCTATACCAATCACAAAGGGTGGAAGATGTAGATAAAAAGAACAAGGCAAGTTAAAAAAGAATTTTAGATCTTTGAGACAAATGAAATGTGTATTGTACAAAAGGGGCAGCAGCTCAATATCAGGAAGATGAAGTGCCTTTTATGTTCAGCACATATGAATTATTTTGTTCAGTAAATCATATTCTTGGCAGGTAAATAATTTTAGCTTCCATCGTAGCAGGATGTTTTTTTGTGCATGCATTAGGATTTCTGTGTGATAATAATATAAGGTCAGACTCTTTTGACTCATAGTTTTTTCTCCTGTGCAGTTTCGCTGCTGTGGAGTAACCAACCACACAGACTGGTTTGAAGTTTATAATGCCACCCGTGTGCCAGACTCCTGCTGCCTGGAGTACAGCGACAACTGTGGCCTGGACAACCCAGGAACATGGTGGACAGCGGTAAGTGTAACAAATACATTATACACTGTGTTTGTCTGCTCTAATGTAAACTGCAAACCAGCTTATTAGTAGTAAAAAAAAAAAAAGCAGCACTTCCCTTTTATGGCACATTATCTAATTATTATCTCATTAACTTATTATTTCAAGTTAATCTTGTCAGAAGCTTAATTAGTTACTTGCTACAGGTGACCATATCATCATGTCATCCACAGTTTCCACTTCAGCCAGTAAGAAATAAGAAGCCTTTTTTATCTACTTGAAATCAGAGATCCACTGTTTCAAAAACAAGCGGGAAAATGAACACCGTCTTTTTGTGCGAGTACTGAATACAGTAGCTGTAACTAGGTAGGTGGGGCTTAGTGAACGGCCAATCAATTATTTGGGGAACTGAGAGCACAAATACATGTGGTACATATAAGGTACCATTTAATTAAACGTTAAATTGATTATCTGTTTTGGTGAGGGTCTTCCTCAACCAAGTTCCAATATCATCTCAGGTACAGAGTCAAAGAAAAACGAAGGAGAGAAGAAGTCGTCACAGTGTTGGTCATATTTCATTTAAATGCAAATTTATAATGTCAAAAGACAATTCCCACATGGCTACGTGACTTAATACAGCTAACATTCAAGTAACCAGTTATCTATTGAAAAACAACTTAGGGTCACAAATATTCCAATTCAGCAAAGCTAAAAAACTGGGCCTGCCTATTTTTATGTTGTACCATAGCTGTGCAAGCAAACAGCAGGACGTTGAGAGATTTATGTTCATAATTACTGATGGAATTAATTACTTCTGTCCAGAAGGACTTTACTGCTGGTGCTACTAATGTTCATCGGATGTATAATAAGTGTCATATTTTTAATTTTTTAGCAGCTGCACTGCGCAGAGAGTTGTTGTTTTCCCTTTGAATTGTGATATAATCTTTAGAAAGCAATCATGTTGTACGTCATAAAATACTTTAAACCTCAGCTGTTGAGTATTGTTGGTATTTTGTAGTTTTAGAGATCTTACACTTGTGGTACCTCTACGTTTCTTCACATCCATCAGATCATTAATAAGCCACAAAGATCAACAATGTATGCTTCTTTGCTTCTGCAAAACCAGATGAAAATATGGTTGTCACTTTAAAACAATTAGTATCATGTGGAAAAACAGCCTGATCTGCTAAGAGGGGTTGCATGAGTGTGAGCATGACTGTTAGCCCTGGTGAAAAAGCTGAACAGTGTGTGCAATGGATTGCATCAGTCAAGAGAAAAATAAAGCTATAAAAACTTTTGGAGGTTTGTCTTGATGAATATGTAACACTGGGTGCTTCTAGTGCTATTGGTAGGCAAATGGATATGTACTTGTAATGTAATTTAGCAAGAGTGGAAGTTGTTGCTGTGGAGGTAATTGAGTGTGTTGAGATAATAAGTAAGGACAGCTGGTATTAATTACACATTCATTCAGAAATAAAATTACTCCACCTACTTGTGACCTGTTCGGCACCCCTGGCAAAGTCTGCTGCACTGAATTCTTTACTTAACAGTATCATTACCATTTCTGAAACACAAATTGTGCGTCACATAAAAGCAACCACCTGTTCTCTTGACACTCTTTATTTAAACTTGTCATTAACACAATTAGTCCCAGCATTCCTTCCGTCATTACACGAAGCAAGAGGGTAACTTCCTTCCGCCTCTACTGTAAAAAAAAAGGAAATGTCAAAAAAGGAAATGAGGAAGTCATTGATGAACAACCACACAAATTTTTAAAATTCCCTTTCTCACCAAATTCCTAGGAAAAAATGTTTTTTTTTACTCAACTGGTGTCTCTACCGTCTTCAAAACACCATCTTTGAAAACTCTAGTCTGGTTGCAATGGTCTTATTAGCAATTACAAAACATATATGTACGTATTATTACCTGGCTGTACCTTAATCTGACAGTCAATTGCTTAAACCTGCATGATGTATTATCTTTTGGCCAGAACAAGCTGTAAACACAACATCAACATAATATCATAACATTGATATTATATATCGTGTTGCTTATGTACACATGCAGCAGATATGGAACAACATACATTGAAAATGATGTTTTGGGCCATCTGGCATGTGTACGTCTAATATTCCTTCTCCTTTTTGGCTTTGATCTGGTCTGCACCAACCCCTGTGTAAAATATATGGCTCTTTAGCTGCTAAATGCTCCGCTGTGTTCACCAGTTAGTTGATACCTTTGTCTGTCTGCTGTTAAGTGCCGAGCAGGTAGCGTACAATAGGTTAATCAGAGGTTTTTCATTAAAAACAGCTGCCTGCTGCAGATGATCGGAGCAGTGAGTGAACCAAAACAGAAAAGTTGCAGATTTTAGAACCATAGAAATGAGCTGAAAGAAAATATCATCATCTTATGTTACCAACATCAGGTTGAAAACTACCAAGATATAAGCATCATGTTGGCTGATGTTTGTTTGATGTCACTCAGACTGCCTGTACGAGTGTGTTTCCTTATGCTCTGGGGCTCTTTGCTGTTTTAGCAGCTCATACTGCACTGCACTCTCAAAGACCAATGCATTTTAAAAACTTGCAAACTAGTAAACACAGGAGGTAAATGAAATATTTCACCCAGGGTCACTTTAAAAATCTTTTAGCAATAAAAGCAAGAAACACTTTTTTTTGGTTTGTTCAACATTTACATTCTTTTGTTACTTATTCAGTTCACAAAAAGAAAATATGAAAAACATAACAGCAGGAGACCTACACAACAGCTGTTGTTCTGCTCTGCCAACTGCAAAAGCTTATTATTATTTGGAGGCATCAACAGGAAAGATAAAAAATAAAGTCTCACAAAAAGCTGCAATGGCAGGGATCATAAAATTACGTTTTGAAGTCAACATATTGTCATCATAGGGACAAAACATTTAGGGCCACTTAACACACTGATAGTTCACTTCTGTCATCCCACTGCGCTAAAGCAGTCACTGTACATCACAATGAGTGAATATGATTAATAATAATGACAACAATTTTAGTGTAGCTTCAGATGTTATTACGTTGATTCAACAAAATGGTAAATGGGCGCATTTTAAAAATCATATCAAATGTGCCAGATGTCGCCTGTAGAAACAGTCACGGTTTGTAAAGCTCCAGATCAAGTGTGTTACATCTGTTTCAAAAATGTCACACTGTGTTGGAGGACTTCCATTTTGTATTTAAAACCAGATTTCAAACAGTATAAGACATTTAACATCATACAGTATGACATTCAGAGTTTATTCATGAACTTGGGCACACCAACTGACAACACAGACTCACCACAAGGTCCATTTAGTAGCTGTTCTAGGGCTTGCAGTCATATCACCTGATCTTCATGAGCAGATGGATGTAAAGATGTTGCACTTTAATACACATTATTGAGATAATGATGATGATCAAGAATGGAAAGTAGCCGTGTGTAACATTTAGAAGGATCTATTGACAGAAATGGAATATAATATTTCTAGGTATGTTTTCATTAGTGTATAATCACCTGAAAATGAGAATCATTGTGTTTTTCATTAGAATGAGTCTTTTTTATATTTACAGAGGGAGCAGATCGCCTGATTTGCATAGCATACCGCCATGTTTCTACAGTAGCCCAGAACGGACAAACCAAACACTGGCTCTAGATAGGGTCATTTGTGTTTTTCGCGCACTTCGCATAGTTTCTCCTTCAGGGAGGGTGAAGCGAGCAACTACACCACTAGGTGCCACTAAACCCTACACACTGGTCCTGCAGGTACGACAATAAGCATTGTGATGATTGAAAGCGCCAGGACAGCTACTAAATGGACCTTGTGGTGAAATTTTCACCACAGGAGGCAACATTGCTATTTGACACAAAAAGTATTTTCTTCATTACATCTTGGTTTCCACTTGCAAAGGGCAGATCTTAAATATGATGCCATCATGGTCACAGGTGTAGACTTGGGAGCAGACAGCCCTTCATTCCTTAAATATAAGCCTCTTACTTAGGTTGTGTACAACTCAATTTAATTTGTCCATTCAGCAGAAAGGCCAACTTGTGGTCAAGCGGCAGTGGTTTTCAATTTTAAAAATGAAAGACGTAACCTTTTAAAATGTATTTCTATTACTTTTCCTGTAACCAAGTTCTGCACAAACCATTGAAAGATTTTTCAAAATTATGCATATTTACCTCCTTCAGGTGACAGCTTGATGGCCTTCACGTAGACCTGAGAATTCCACTGACCCTTCTAGTGTGAAACGCATTTTGAAAACAAATTAATCTGGCTAGTTTTGAGTTTTGATTAATATTTACCCTCAAGAGTTCAGGTAATGTAGTTCACACAGAAGCAGTTCTCTCTTCCAATAATATGTGCATACCCCTGTTTTATTTAAATATATACTGTACACTTTTCAAATTATATATCTTTTTCTAGGAAACATACATTCTAACCCTTGCTTCTCAGTCTGAAATCAAATCATTCTCCAGAGATTTCTCTATTGGGCATCAAGTGACAAAAGAAGTCAGCGATGCCATTCAGGGTCATTGATGGTTTTATGTTGTTGAAATGTCTCGAGGCAGAAATTAATGCTTTTTTGTTTCGTTTTTTTTTCTAATACAAATGTTATAAATGCCTCTTTTTCCTCTTCAGTGAACAGATTACTGTTGAATAGAGTTGGAATAAAGCCTGTTGTCGGCTTTAGATTCTTGTGGTTCTTGTCATTGGCAGCCGAGTGTTCGTGAACTCGGGATCTGTGTAAAAATATTTTCTCTAAATAAAACAAATCTCTTCACGCTCTCATTGATGGGAAACAGAAAAAAAACCCAAAGGACACACTTGAATGGAGGCGCGATGACACACACACACTGATACACACACAGTTTCAATGCCTGCAAATATACAAAGTCCATGTATAATCTATTTTTACATTTACCTGACGTTATCTGTTATGCAATAGGAACAGCATTCTTTGCTAAAACTTTGAAATTGTATGTTGGTTTCGTTTAAAGAGCAACTTAACATCTTGTTTTAGCTTAAACACCAATCACATGCATTTAAACCCAGACACACACACCATCCCATTCCCCCCTGCTGTTGAAATATACACAAAGTGGCTGTAATTTTAAAAGACCTGTTTTTGAGTGAGTAAATTATATGTGCAGTTACCATCCTTCCACTGCAGCTTAGCACAGAAACAGCTTAGATCTTGGGAAACATAAAAAAACATAACTAAACATTAACCAATTGACTGACGGACTAAAGCATCTTATTAGATTCAAATAAACTTTGGAATTCATTTTTGTGCAGATTGAAGGTTGTGGATTTTGTCCCCCATCTCTTCCATTGGAAGTATGTTAGCGAGGGAACTCTTAATGGTTAGTAGGAGCCATAGACTGTATAACTGAATATGGGCTTAGTCTCTGTGACGTCACCCAAAGGGTTCGACGTTGAGTGTGGGAGGAGCTGAGGTGAGCTGAATAAAGCCTGGCTGCTGAAAACAGCCACCTGTGAGCTTGATCAAATTTAAATGGGTGAGTTTTATTAAAATTCATCCCCTGTACACCTGTCATGAAAGGAGAATTCAGCTATAGAGACCAAAACCGTTTTTTTGTACCAGGCTCTAGATATGTTTATTCCTGCTGTTAAGTTGGGGCCTAATAGAGTTTGGCTCACTTTTGTAGCCAGCCTCAAGTGACTGTTTGAGAAACTGCAGTTTTTGTTATTTCAGTGTAGGCTTCATTGGAGTAAGATTATTTTGAAAGGCAATGATGAACGACCTATTTAGTTTTTGTGCGTGGAAGTTCATTCTTGACCTTTAGTAACAGTGCATGTCACAAAATAATGTAAGCCCAATTATACACCAGCTTTTCTAAACTTTCAATGGAGGCATTTTCAGCAAGGGATCAGTCTCAGGTTTCTGGAAGCCCGTACACAGAGCAAAACAGTTTAACAGTGAGGAGGAGGATAAAGAGACTGTGGTACAGCAGGTCCATGGGGAAGTCCAGACCAAGGAGTGGATGATGACAATCCAACACATAAGACCAGGACAAACACAACTAAATCAGCATGGACTAGCAGGAGAATCTCACTGGGATTCAAGACAGAGTTTTTAGGTGACAGGTAGTTGGCATTTACCACAAACCATTTCAACACCCTAAGATTCTTGAATAGGCAAGGACTCTGGACTGGAAGACATTGAATTAACACCAGAAACAAACAATATCATCTGTATGTGAACACCAGACCAAAATCTGTCACAGCATTGACTGGGAAAGGTTACAGTCATCAACCAGGAGTGGAAGGCTGCAAGGAGATCAAGCAGGACATTGATTGACAGCTGTTATATATCATCACTTATGATGACACTTCAATTCACTGATGAAGGCTGCAAGATGTGGTTGAAAGCTCAGAAAAGCTATTAAGTGGACATTTAAACTTAGATTATTTTCTTACCTGCTTTGTTGTTTATCTTGGATGACTTCTTAGCCTTGTAGCTGTGAATGTAGTCCCTGTGCTGGGACTGGCTTAGCAGGTTCAGGTTCACTTATATATTTTTTCCCCTGGTTTTATGTGGACGCCAAACAATAAAAATATGAATTTATATGTTTTCAGATGCAGCTCTGTGGTCCAGGAGGGTTTGATAAATAACACTGAAGCGGCTCTAAATTTTGCCTTACTGCATGACTTTCCATATTGATCCAGCCCAGAATTATTTCACCTTGTGCTATAGAAAATATATTTTTGGGTTCCCTGATGTTTCGGGCAGTAGAGAAATGCAGAGTAGATTGTAGAGAGTATATTGTGTTTGGTTTCTCTGCCTCTGGCTCAGCTTTTCTTGATGTAAGGAGATTTACAAAAGAGGCACAATCAGGAAGGTATGTCTGTAGAAATGAATAATTTAATTAGAACAGTGGCGTAGCCTGTTATGATAGTACCTTATCTTTCACTACAATATAGCAGGCTGTCATTTCTCCATTGTAACATAATCAAACACACACTTCTTTTTCAAATCTTTTACTAAAGTAAAAGTAACAACAGTGTAGAAATATTCTAAGTACAAAAGTATTGGCATCAAAATGTACTTAAAGTATTTTACAGATGAATATACATGATATCACAGGATTACTTTAATGTTGCAGTTGGTGAAGGTGGAGCTAATTTTAAAGGTCCATTGTGTAACATTTAGGAGGACCTATTGGCAGAAATGGAATATAATATTCATAGGTATTTTATAATGAGCTGAAAATAAGAAACCTACCTGAGCTGTTTTTATCTACAGAGGGAGCGGGTTTGAAGCAGTTTGTTCTAAAGATGTTTCTAAAGTAGCCCTAGACCAGATAAACTAAACACTGGCTCTAGACAGGGCCATTCATGTTTCATAGTTTCTTCTACACGCTTGGAAGGCTGAGCTGTATTCAAAAGGTTGCAATGTGGAACTTCAGCACTAGATACCACTGAATCCTACCCACTGGCAGGGACGGATCTAGAAAAATATTCATGGGGTGGCAAGACGGTGGCATGGAGACAATCACACATTTGAATATTTGCTTGGAAAATTACTTAAAACATTACATGATTGTGGAACATTTTCCAAATAAATGTATTTTCTCAATGAAGTCAGTCTCAGACAGGCCATAACAGATCATTAAATTATGTGCGTTCATTTCTCGATTTATTAGTTGATTAATAATCTAAATCTGCAATTATACCTATCTGATCTTGTGTGTTTATGGAGGTCATATAGAGGCATTAGTATTAAATTGAGACTGTTTCATACCTAATTAAAAACTCCTTGTATTAGGTTTGAATAGGCCTATTGACTAAATATACTCACTACTGCAGTTTGGCACACAAATGCCAATCCTGTCACCTTTAATGTCAGCCTTCAACTGTTATTAGAAAGCCACTGTCTTTACTTTCAGTATTCGTGTCTTTTTCATTACTTGCTTATATCCCTGACCCAGAAGGACATTGCTCTATTCCTATATTAAGTATTTTTCATCTCTTTCTACATGTTGGGCACTACATGTTTCCAGTGTTTGAAAAGAAATGTAGTCTCAAAACATAGTCTTGAAACATAGTCTTGTGGAAATGTCTTAGTGAAAAAATAGGGAAGCAGTAAGAGGGTAGAGAATTCTTTTTTTTTTGTCAAGTTGCCTTCAGAATGCATTTGAACAATGTCAGACATAAAAAATTTTGCCCATTCTCATGTCTAAATGATACTTCCAGTGTATGTGCTATTCACATTACTCCTGTTTGTACAGCTGAAGGGAGACAAGGACAGTGGGAACTTGCTTGAATTTTGGAAAGTTTCCCCAAAGAATATTAGGTCAGAGAAGGAGGGGGAGGAGGAGGAGGAGGAGGAGAAGGAGGAGGAAGAGATAAGGATGTTGCCACAGGGGATCTTTTAGCCAAAGAACATTTTCTATCACAGTTTCTAAATACAGGATGAGAAGACTCGCTGTTAATGGTATATAATATGATTGCACATAGCACTAGACATCTAAATAAAGGTTTACATTCATCAGCCAATGTTTGCTCATTCTTTATGTATATATTTGTGTGTTTGTGTGTGTCTCCACAGCCGTGCTACGAGCGTGTGAAGGACTGGCTTAATGAGAACCTGGTGGCACTTTGGATCTTTGCTCTATGCACAGCACTCACTCAGGTAATTACAGCTTTAAGTTGTATAATTTTTTTTAAGCAAGTCAGTCCTTGATATCTACAGCCTCATATGGAGGCGCTTACTTTGTGATAAATAAACCTAATACTTCCAGTGTCCTTTGCATTAAGCGCTGAATGCAGGATTTCTCTGGACAGCAGGAGCTTGTATAAGCCTCTTGTGTTACCGCTCAAGACCACATAGGAGGGTTTGACTTTCCATAAAATTCTTTTATCTCCTTTCCAGCCAAGTGTTACGTGATATGCTTCCACAATGTGAGAGGAGAAATATCATACTGGGCTCCTGTGATGCTGCAGGCTCAGTTTTAGTCGTCTATTTGATTCTCTGTGCCCTTTTTGAAAACCCTACATGCAGCAAAATGAAAACCAGAAAGATGTTATCATTGCCTGACTTATCTCAAATATCTGTGATGTTTGCCAGCTGACTCACAGCATTATACAATACAAAGAATTATACAATTATGCTTTATGCTCAGGCAAAGAAAAATTAAAGCGTGTTTATGTAGCTTTTGAAAGAAGAAATGACAAATTCTTTTTACAATTGAAAAGTTGAATTCATATTATATATGGGGAGTGATGGCCCGCCCATGTGGTCCAATCCATGACCCTGTCTCTGGTTTACTGCTTTTCCTTCCTTGGGCCACTTTTGATAGGTACTGGCCCTTGTCAGAATCCTCACACTCAAATCATTTTTCCTGCTTCTAACACATCAACTGTGAGGACAAAATGTTCACTTGCTGCCTAATATATCCCACCAACTGGCAGGTGCCATGGTAACTAGATAATCCGTGTTATTCACTTCACCTGTCAGTACTCATTATGTAATGGCTGATCGGTGTATATAAGACAACTATTATGCATAAATACTAACATTTCCTTAAAATAAAAGAAAAATTGGGAATATAAAGTTCAAATAAACACAAGCAATACCTTACACCTGGAGAGAGTCTCTACATATAAACTTCACATAACTGCAGGGAACTGAGATGAAAAGTCGTTATATCGCAGGACATCATATTGACAGAAATCTTTTTACCAACATCCTCCAACAAATGGTGAAGAAACTGTGCAGTAAAAATAATGCATCCTGGTTGTGCTCTAAGATCAAGTTTTAGGAAGAAGTGTTTGAAGCCTTCAAGTGTTTCATCATGATTTACCGCAATCCGTTACAGATCCTATTAACGACAGCTATGAAGTGTAATACAGTAAACTGGTTTAGACATGACTCGGCTATGGCTAAAACAAATATAATGAAACAAATATTAATTTACACTCAACAAAGCTGTATCCCTGTAATTTAATTAATTTACACACAAACTCACAATCACATCTACATTAAGTTGTCAATATTTTTTAAATTCTATTTTGGTGTGAAAACAATTTGCGTCTGCATAATTTTTTAAAAACAAAAACAGCTCCATTTCTTCTTTTTCGCCCTATTTTTCAGTTGGCAAACAACAAAATGGCATCACAGTCAACATCTGGTAAAAAGTGAGACAGCCAGCCAAGCTGACCAAATTATTTCATGGTTGTGACAACAGCTGTGCATTCGGCTTTACTGACATTTAAAATGATTGATTGTGACAGAAAGTTGTCTTCTTGACTTTGCTGCCACACAAGCCCACACCTGTGACTGCAGCTACAGACAACAGCCGGTTTCACCTACATGTATTCTGTCCTTTAATGCAGCCAAATTCATAGCATTGTTGTTCTTATTTACAAATTATTGAGACAAAAAACAAATATGAAATTGTTATGTAATTGTAGCCAGCAGATATCTAGATAATGGATACCGGATCAAAACAACTTGCAATTTGAGATGCAAGAATGCAATCCAGACAACATTTTGGTTAATCTGTATGAACAGATCTCTGCATATGAATGCAGATAAATAAATTAAAAAAGCTAATGAAAAGCTAAATCGGCATCAGACGATAGCCGATAGGTTCGGAGATTGGATTTTGGCCAATGCGTTCTGCCTCTTGCTCTCCACATTGTTTACCTGCATGCAACTAAAGCCCACTCAAACGTGACTGATCAATATTATTCAGACTACAAACGGAAACCAGAACGCTTCCGATACCAGGATCTTGTCACTTGTCTACAGATTATGTATTCATATACAGATATCTGTATAGATTAGGGGGGTAAAAACAGCACCTATGGAATAAAAAGAACTGAATATCACTGTATTGTCATTAACACATTTTAACTAACTTAATGTCATTTAAATTAAAGGCAGTAAAAAGGTGAATTGATCACAACAGAGTGGCATTAAATTGTGTTTTGTTTTTTGGTAAAATCACCAGATAAAGGTTTGTCGGAGATGCTGGAGCTAAGATACAGCGTTTAATAAAAAAGAAGAGCGTCCTCACATTCCAATCTGTGCAAAATCTCTACTTAATGAATATTGCACGGATTGGAGTGTGAGGATGCTCTTCCTTTTGTTATCCAAGAAATAAACGTGACGTCATTTCACTGTGACCTTACGCGTGGACATCTGAACAAATGAATGGCTTATTTGTTTTTGCAGATCCTGGGCCTGGTCTTCTCCATGACAATGTTCTGTCAGTCAGTGAAAGTAGAAACCTTCTACGCCTAGCGATCGACCTCTGTGCCATTCAGCACACTTTTTTCTTCATCAGAGAGGGACCGATATAGACCCAGCCTCCTCTTCCTCCTCCTCCTCCCCCTACAGACTCTTCTTTCCAGCGCTTGTCCTCTCTGTGACATTCCCTCTCGGATGTCACCAGTTCACAGTTTCTGCTAACTATCAACAAGCACAGTGTCAGTGTAATACCTGAGTTGGTTTCTATGGTTTGCTCTGTGTCAAAAGCTAATTTCTGTGATACATTTTATAAAGCAGTATTATGAACATGTATAAAAAAGTGTAACCCTTTTTTTTTAATATGTGTTTTGTTTTAAATTATTTTATGTGTTTTCAAAATGAGAGCTACAGTTGGGAAAAGTGCACAGTGTGAAGTGCTGCAAGTGCATGTCTCCTGCCATGGTGTGTATTAAATGTTTTGGATCGACTAAAAAGCACACGTCATCTTGTCATTCCTACACCGGAAACGCTGAAGGGTTTTATGTGTAATCCTGCTTTATTTATGCCAGACAACCTGCATGACAAACACAAGGGATGGGGGAAATTGGCCAGGAAACGGCATGTAAAACCGTTTATATATTCCCTCTGCTGAG